TGGCCATAGGAATCACACTGGTCTTCCTTGATGCTTCTTTCCTCCTGACTTCTTTGACTTTTCATAATTTCTCCTCTTTCCATCCATTTCCACCTTCTCCCCCAGGCCAAATAAAATACAGGGAAGGGAGAGAAGGACACGGAGCATTTCTTTGATTGGTGAAAAGGCAAGAATGATGTTTTCTGTGTTTGTGGTTCAGTAGGAAACAAAGTCAAATGGTTTGAGGTGTCCTATACCAGACAGCTCACTTAATTTCACTTTCTGGAGCAGTGGTGAACTTGACAATGGCCTTGATTGACTAAGTCCCTGGGAGAACATCTGAAGGGTTGGGGGACTCCTTTTAGCTCTGTTTCAGAGGCTTCCATTATAGCAGGCAAGTGGCGGCAAAGGTACTGGGTGGAACAAAGTTGTTCAATATGGCAGTCAGGAAGCAGAGCAGAGGCAGAACAGGGTTGGAACAAGATATTCCCTTCAAAGCCATGCCCTCAGTGACCTACTTCCTCCAGCTAGTTCCCTCCTCCAGTTCCTACCGTCTTCCAGTAGTCTATTCAGATTTTGAAAACCATCACTGGGCTGATCACAGTCAATGAACCATTGATTAGGTAAGAGTCCTCCTGATCTTCTAATCCGCTCTAGGAAAGTCCTGAAAGACTTGGCAAAGTTGTCATTTTAACTCAGAAATGGATGGTAGAGGAGGGAGGGATAGTTTCCTATATAAACTGATTATGTTCTGTGCTATCTGCTCTGTGTGTGTGTGTGCATGTGTGTGTGTGTATGTATGTATGTATGTGATATGCTGGAGAACAAATCCAGGGCCTTGAATATACTAGGCAAATGCTTTACCACTGAGCTCCATTCCTAGCCTACTTACTATAATTTTCAAAGAAAAGTATCAAGGAAATGGCATGCATGGGACAACAAACTCAAGACATACCCCCTGAGGCCCTGGAATTCCTCCTTTTCCATTAGGAGTATTACTGTGGGAAAAAGAATATTCTAGAATCCCTGGTGTGCAAGGGAGTCTGGAATAATCTGTGCTACACAGCACTGCTCCTTCTTGTTTGATGAGCTGTCCAACTGCAAGCCCATGCTGGCTCTCTCCTCTTGGACCTGGCTAACCTTGAGCTTATCCCACACCCCCTTCCAAACATGCTTCTCAGACATTGACAGCACCTCCATTCATTCAAGGAAGGATGTCTCGACGCCTCTCATTTATGCACGCATTTGGCGCAGTTCTTACCTTCCATTAGTGTCTGTGTGACCACCTATTATATCATTAATGCATCCCTCATCTAAGTTGCCATTGTCCTCTGCCTGCTGTGACCTCAGATCAAGTAACTAGGTTTTGCTCCAGCCCGCCCGCCACACTCACGTGAGTGTCTGTCCATCTAAAACTCAGATCTGATCGTTTCTTTCCACTGAGCTTAGAATAGCATGGTCTGTGAAGATCTGCACAGCCCAACCTCCTCCTCTCCAGTCTTCTTTCAGATATTCTCCATTTGGATGGTGAAAGCATCCGTAGCAACTTTCTTTCTGCTCTTCGATGGTACCATGATTCCTCCATGAGGAGCCACAGGTCAGCTCCTCTGTTCAGAGTGTTTCCTCAGCTTTACCAAACAGCACTTTGCTGGAAAAAAAGATATATTTTTATCTTTCATATCTCAGTTCAGTGATCTTCAGAAAACCCATGACATTCCAACAAGGAATGATATTTGTCATGGGACCAAGCACTTTCCTTTTCCTTTTTTTTATTGTTTTGTTGGTTATGGGACCTGAACCTAGGGCCTGAGCATTATCCTTGAGCCTCTTTGTGCTCTAGGCCAGCGCTCTACCACTTGAGCCACAGTGCCGCTTCCGGTTGTTGAGTGGTTAATTGGAGATAAGAGTCTCATGGGGACATTTCTACCCAGGCTGGCTCTGAACCACAATCATCAGATCTCAGCCTAAGTAGCTAGAATTTCAGACATGAGCCACAAGCACCCAGCTCATGCACTTACCTTTTAAGAGGACTTATTTTGGCTGGAGCATGTCTCCAGTAATAGTAATAGGATGACTGCCTATCAATTGCAAGGTCATGATTTCAAACCTCATACCACCACAAAAGGGCAGACTTATCTCAGTTAGTAATTGTAGGTTAGATAATTTTATTATTTGATGATGACTTGAGCCTTGGAAGCTGTAGACTCCCTGAGGGCCGGATGGCCCTTTAGTTGTCTCCAGTCCCTTTGAGCATGAGCAGTGGCTCCATTGTTATTCACGAGTGTGGTGGGACAGCCAGGTTCTGGAAAGCTGAGTGGTGGCCTGAGACCAGGCCCATTTAATCCACAGCTCGTAGTCTTGGACCATCAAGCCCGGGGTTCAGCCTGCCTTCCTGCAGCCACATCCTCATCACTATGTCTGTGGGTTGGGGAAGTTCTGGGAAACATTATATTCTTCCATTTATGTGGCTTGAGTACAGGATGGCAGAGCATCTCTTTCCATGTGGAGACGTAATGTCACCCAGAAGATCTGTGGCAATGTTTTGCTTAAAACCTGTGCTTTTCTCCTGCTATCCAGACCTTTCTCACTTTGCTGCCAGAATTTTCTCTGATCAAGCAGAGCATTTCAGCCACTACCCCTTGCCCCCTACCCCCTGCCCCCAGCTGTAGTCCTGGTGCCCTTCTCCCAGTCTTCCTCTGCACTCATGCCATCTCATGCCATTCTGTATAGCTCCTGATGCTCCTCCCACAGACAAGCTCCGCCCAGTGTTTCCTCCACCCACCTTTACTTGTGGACTTTGGTATGAACAACCCCACTGCGCTTCCTTCTGCAACTTGAAATTCATTCATAGGTGTCTATTATTTTGTTCTATAAGCCATAGGTGAGTGCAACTGTTCTGGTATTTGTTTTTCTCTCTCATCCACCTAATTCATTCCCACTTAAGAAAAAGAACATAACTTTTTTCTTTTTTGTTTTTTGGAGGTTTTTTTTTTTGTCATGGGGCTTGAACTCTGGGCCTAGGTGCTGTCCCTCAGCTCTTCAGCTCAAGGCTAGCGCTCTACCACTTGAGCCACAGTGCCACTTCTGGTTTACTAGTGGTTTATTAGTGATAAGAGTCTCACAGATGTTTCCTTCCCGGGCTGGCTTTGATCCGAGATTCTCAGATCTCAGCCTCCTGATCAGCTAGGATTACAGGCGTGAGCTACTGGTGCCTGGCTCTTTTTTTTTTTTTTTAATCATTTTTTCCAGTACTGAGAATTGAACCCAAGGCCTAGCACACATCACTCCTTGCTCTATCCCAGCCCTTTTGTTTGATTTTTTGTTTTTTTTTTTGGCCCAAGCTGGCCTTGAACTCTTCATCTTTCTGCACTTGCCTCCTGAGTAACTGGGTTTGCAGGCTTGTCCAGCTTTGCCATTTTTTAAATAATAGGTTTTCAAATATATCATCAGTGTCCCTCAGCCTTGCTATGTCTAAGGATAAGCCAGAGAGCTCTTTACCACAATTGAGGTGCCGGTCCCATCTGTGGAATCACAATAGCTGGGCTGAGGCATCTGTGTTTACCCAGATGAGCAAAGTAACTTGACTATGTCCCAGAGCTAGTGGGTGACAGACTAAGCATCACCATCCCATGTTCCCTGTTTGGTTTTTTTTGGCTCTTATTCATAGTCTTTAGACTAAATTGTGTTTCCTGCAGAGATGTGAGTATGTGTGTTTATCTGTATCTGAATTTGCATAGAGTGGTTCTTCTATTTTACAGTTGACTTCTACCCCCCTGAACAACTAGGCTTCTAAACGATGTGGAAAGTCTCAGACCGACAAAAGCAACTAAAATACTCGGTCACAGCCTCATCGACAGTTTTGATAGGAGACTGAAATGAGGGCACTAAAGCAGCTCCGTCCCACTCCTACCCCCAGGCTCCTGGTTGCCTCCTGTGAGCTCTTCATGCTGCCCCCACCACCTCCTCCACCATCCCTGTGCTCTACTTCTGCCTCATTGGTCACTGTGGTGCCCACTGTTCCCAGAGGGAAGCCCCGCTCCCCTGCATCTGGCTCAGGTGCACAGCTTAGAGAAGCCATCCGTTCCTCCCCTGGCTGCTCCCATGCGGAACCTGAGACAAGAAGGCCTGGGGGTGGGCACTCTGATGAAGTCACCCACTGCCCCTCAGAGAGTCCCCAGAGCCCCAAAAGGACAATCCAAAGTGCTTTTCAAGAGCGACTGTAGCATTCATGCTTTTAGTCATTGCAAATTCAGAAACTCCTCAGTGAATCTGAGCTAGCTCAGCCAAAAACCAGTCCTGACACCAAGTCAGGATCACCCTTGTGAAAATTCACCTGGCCTCGCAGGAAGCTCAGAGCAGAGGTCTGTATCTTTCTCTGTACTGATTCCACTCAGTACAGAGTGGAATCCTATGACTGGATTTCTCTGTGCTGTAGCTTCCTGCGAGGAAGCTACACCATAAATCAGGGTTAATTCCAATTCAGTACATAGGCATACAATATAGTTAACTCAAAGACTATTTTGAAGATGTAACAAAGTCATCAGATTATAAGGCTTATCTATGCTGGGCACTGATGGACTGTATCTATAATCCTAGCTACTCAGGAGGCTGGGATCTGAGGATCTTAGTTTGAAGTCAACCTAGCCAGACAAATCCATTAGACTCTTAACTACAATTTAATAGCAAAAAGCTCAAAGTAGAAGTATGGCTTAAATGGTAGGACAGCCAAGTATGAGAAAGCAGAGTGAGAGCACAAGGTTCTGAGTTCCAGCCTCAATATTGGCACATACACATACACACACAAACTACACACATACCCACACACACACATACACACACCATAGTAACAGAAACATATAATACATAGCTGGCACATATCATTAGTGAACTGTTAAGATGTTGATTTTATAGAATCTCATGTAAATATTAACTACAGTACCTATTAATATAAAGATCCTTTGGATAGAAAAAAGTAGTGTTGGTGTTACCTACTGACAACTGTGTCTCTCTCTTGCTTGTAGCTCTGGAGAGGAAGATCTCAATGAGACAAAGCAGAGAGGAGCTTATCAAGCGAGGGGTCTTGAAGGAAATCTATGATAAAGGTAAGAGACAATCCTCAGACCACAGGCCCAGGAGCACACATGGACTCTTCACCTACTTCCCAGCCTTGCATTTGTTTCTCTGCATAACTCCACTAGAATGCAAGGACTTAAAATCTGATGATTTAGGAGGAAAAAAAAGAATGTAGCAAAGGGTGCTAACGGCACCAGTATTGTAGGAGGGAGAGCTGTCCTTTCCCCTGCTTACACAAACCACAGGATGCTAAGAAAAATAGGCTGTCTTGAGGAACGATGTAGGGCTGATGTGTGAATGCACAGCTGGAGTGAATGTAATTACTGAGGCTTGTGCCACCCCTGGGGGCTCCCCAAAATGCATGCTCAAAATCCACAAGATCTAGGACTTTCTTAATAGTTATTTGTTTTGTTTGTTTTGGTTTTGTCTCCCCTCCCCATACCTGGCATACAACAGAAAAAAAACTGAAGTGAAAAAATTACAACTATATACTTAGGATATTTTAAACAAAAATATTGACAGTGATTGAAATGTTCTGTGAATGTGTTGGCCAATGAACACCACCATGTGTCTTTTGCTTATTACTCTCTTTAAACAGGCATGTTTGCAATGGTTTAGGCATTATATTAACAGTTCCTTATTCCTCCTTTCTGGGACCTTTGCTACCTGGAGAGGGAGAAGGAGAGAGAGAGGGAGAGGGAGAGGGAGAGGGAGAGGGTGTGTGTGTGTGTGTGTGTGTGTGTGTGTGTGTGTGTGTGTGTGTGTGTGTTATATTTGTGAGCTCTGACTCTACTATTTTCTTTCTTCTCTCTTCTTCCTTTCCTTTTTCTCCTATTCTGAGGGTGACACTGTCTCAAGTTTGTCACTGAAGTAATCTTATGGTCATTAGTACTGGCTGTCTGTGCCAGGTCTGTTGATTGTTGAAGACTGATATTACTTGGATGACCCAAGCATTATATTTTCTACTTGAAAGATACTGCATGGCTGGGCACAGGAACTTGATTTATAATCCTAGCTAACCAGGAGGTATGAATAGGAAGTCGTAGTCCATGTCCTCTCCCCCCCCCTCCAAAAAAAAGTGAAAAGGGATGAGGATGTGTAGCTCAAATGGTATATAATGCCAGTGTAGCCAATGCAAGGCCCTGACTTTGAACCACAGTACCATCAAGATGCAAAATGATGGTCAAAAGGCTCCCGTCATTTCAATCATTTAGCCATTTTTACCATGCTTTTGTAGCTCTCCTGTGGGCCAGGTTTGGGCTCTGACACATAGAGGTGGTTTGAATTTCTAGATCTTGCTGCACCTGTGATTATCCTGTGAATCTGGCTTCATTCCTCTGGTGCATCCTGCCTCCTCTGTTGTTATCATGAAGCTTCCCAGTGGTATTTTTTGAAGCATTCTCTCTTAGCACAAATTGCCAGCCCAAGATACAAGTAGGAATCAGCTCAGCTCTTGTCCGGCCTTCGTGGTGAGAAATCCTAGAGGGATGCAAAGCAGTACTATTTCAACCTACATCCTATAATTGTCAGAGCCTCCTGGGCCCATGAGTCCCTGCGGTGAGCCACACGATCTACTTACATATGGGGAAAGCTATGGCAGAATATAACACCTTGATTGATTGAGCACTGCAGGAGAAAGCAATCTATAACTTTATCACTCTTCTCCAATATCTCCTTTCTACACAGTCCCCCAACTGTGTTTCCTCATAAGCTCCTTTCTCCATATTCATTCCCCAAGAGAGAAGGAGGATGTGTGACTACAGGTATAATATTGTGTAATAAGCACCCACATGCTGCAATAAATACCATCACAGACCAAACCCTGTTCAGATCCAGTTAAATAATGCTTTCCCCTGCCTCCCTCCCTCCTTTTTTGTAGGTCTCTCTGCAACACCTCAGGGATACCCTAGAGACTTGATTTTACTGTAACATTCATTATTGTCATTATATCTAATCATCACAGAAGAGGGAAATACTGACAAGGTGGCTTCTTGACTTAACAGAAACTATCCCAAGGTTGCTGGAGCAAACACCATGTAGAAAGTTCTGCAGATTGGTAGTCAGAGGACGTTCATGAAGACTGCAGTCAGTAGTTACTGCAAATGAGCCCTACAAATGAATATAATGCAGACTCTAAAGGATAAGCATGACGATTGTGCTGCCATTGTTTTTTTTTTTTTGGGGGGGGGGGTCTGGTCATGGGGCTTGAACTCTGGGCCTGGGCGCTGTCCCTCAGCTCTTCAGCTCAAGGCTAGCGCTCTACCACTTGAGCCACAGTGCACTTCTGGCTTTTTTCTTTGTGCTTACGTGGTGCTGAGGAATCGAACCCAGGGCCTCTGGCATGCAAGGCAAGCGCTCTACCACTGAGCCACCTTCCCAGCCCCTGTGCTGCTATTCTTTTTTTTTTTTTTTTTTTTGTCGGTCGAGGGCTTGAACTCTGGGTCTGGGCGCTGTCCCTCAGCTCTTCAGCTCAAGGCGAGCGCTCTACCACTTGAGCTACAGCGCCACTTCCGGCTTTCTGGTGGTTTATTGGAGATAGGAGTCTCACAGTCTCTCCTGCCCGGGCTGGCTTTGAACCGCGATCCTCAGATCTCAGCCTCCTGAGTAGCTAGGATTACAGGCGTGAGCCACCAGCGCCTGGCTGTGCTGCTATTCTTATCACTGGATTTTCCCATGAAACCTCAATCCTATCACCACTTCACTTGCTCCGTATGCTACAGGTCTATCCAATTTGGACGAGTGTGTTTCCTACAAGGAGGAGATAGGGAGCGAAAGGAACCACTCTCTACCACCAACTGACAATGTGGCAGCCCCTGCATGCCAGACAGAACTGTGCCCTTTGTGTAGCAGCCTGAAGTAATGTAATTGGGGCTTGCTGCAACTCATCTAGAAGTTTCCATTGCAGCCTCCCTCTGCCTGGGGCAAGAGAGAGTCCCACATGAAGAGGAAGGAGGTCAGCAGAGGACATCTGTTTGCAGGAGGGAGGGATAAAGTGCCCATGCACAATGTCACTTTCCAATATTAGAGATAGTATTGCACCCCAGACTATGAACTGCACTGGGGTGTTTTTCTTCCCCTTCAGTCGGGGGAGCATAACTTTTTGAAAGTATTAGTTCTCCTTATAAACACACACAGAAGCTAGATGCCAGTGGCTTGTGCCTTTAATCCTAGCTACTTGAGAGACTGAGACCTGAGGATTTCAGTTCAAAACCAGCCCAGGCAAAAAAGTCTGTGAAACTCTTATCTCCAATTAATTACCAGAAGTAGAGCTGTGGCTCAAGCGGTAGAGCACTTACCTTGAGCAAAAAAAAAAAAAAAACTCAGGGACAATACCTAAATCCTGAGTTCAAGCCCAAGACTGATCCAAAAATAGAAAGAAAAAGAAAGGTAATAGAGAATAATTTTTCAAAGGTATTACAAGCAAATGGAGCTCGAAAGCCAGCAAGAACAACTCTTTTAAAAATTAACGAAAATGAAGAGTGATGGCCATTTCTTCACAGAGTGCAGTCCTCTGTATGGACTCCAGTACTTAGTACAATGGACTTGCCTACTATACTCATTCATTTAGATCTTCTAAACAAAATCCTCTTTTCAAAATGTAAATGTATCAAACTGAGACAGATGCAAAGAGGCTTAAACAGTAAAGTGACCAAGAAAGAATTATGACTAAGAATTCTCTTGAGCAACCCCAGGTTCTCAGAAAAGCACTGTCCCATGCAAGGAGAATTAATGAAGTTGTTATAGCAGTGAGTACTCCCTAGTACATGCATTGGTTCCTTGTATATGGGCAGAGAATCCATCAAGTGGCAGGTACCATTCTGCATGCCAGAAGTACTGCAAGGACAAGCTAGGATCCTGGCTAATGCTCGCAATCCTGGCAGATATGGTGGAGAAAAATGGATGACTTTAGATGGAAGTGTCATCTATCCAAGCCTGGAAATCCAGGGAAGATGTGTTGGAAGGAGCTGTCTCCTAGAGGAATTCCTCAGGGATGACAAGGAATTATCCTAGCAAAGATGAAAAGCGAGTATCCCAAGATGAAGGCTAGACACAGTAGGAGGCACCATATTGAAAGTGAAAGAGAGAATGAATGTCCAACATGTCTTTTTGGTAAAGAGAGCCAGGACAGTTCTTACAGGCTAGAGAACGGTTCTCACTGCTTGTTCCTGTTTTTAAAAGAGGAGAGGAGCTCGAGTGAGGGGGCACTGTGTATGATGAGATGTGCGGCCTCATTGCTCTGCCCATAGGGAAGGATGACTTGGAAAGTGTCCAAGACATGTGTCGGAGAGATCAGATAGCTGGTGGATTCCATGGTTCAGATGATGAGTACAGAATGAGGAACGTAGGCTTGGGGCAGGGACCAAGTTGAAGATACATAGGAGATAAACACAAGAGGGCTCTGGGATTGCTTAGATTTGGAGAAAGACATGAGGAAAGGAAAGCAGCAAGGCTGATACTTGGGATTTGAGCTTGAACAGCTGGGGAAGAACCAATCTAGGAGGTATTCACTGTGTTGGGAGCCCAAGAGAAGTGAATTTAGTACACACAGTATTGAGATAATTTGGCTCCATTGGTTTTGAGCTATGCAAGTGTCTAAATAGATCACTCATTGGACAGATGCAAAGCTCCAGAGGGAGTTCTGTGCTGGACATAGCTTAGCATCGTCTGTGTATATGTGGTGAAGCCAGATAAGTGACTATCTTTCAGAAAGTGTAGAATAAGAAAATAGGTGACAGTGGGAGAAAATACGCCAGAACCCCAATAGTTAATGTTCTGAATGTTAACTAAAGTAACCTAGCTAGTCAGAGGCTGAGATGTGATGGTCCCAGTTCAAAGCCAGCCTGAGCAGTGAAGTCCTGAGACTTAAGTAACAATAAAGCCGGATGTAGAGTGCCAAGTGGTAGAGTGCCAGTCTTGAGTGAAAAAAAAAAGCTAAGTGACTAGTGCCCAGCCCCATAAGTTAAAGCCCAGGGACTAGCACACACATAGACACTCACAAAGTAATCTGTGAATTAAAAGAACCCTCAGA